GTCCCATCTGGCTGTGGTGCTAAGAGCCATTCTACACACTCTCACCTAGAGTGAAGACCTCGAGACCTCGCCTCTTCCGAGTCCAGAGAAAGGAGGAGACCCTGGGCTTCTTCCTGCCTCCCTATTAAGATCAGTTTTTGTTTGAAGACCTGTCTTTTCCATCAGCGCCTGACACAAATCATGCCTTCTTTGGAGATGGCGAACTTCTTCTAGAAGGCTTTCGTGGAAACCTTGTCTTAACACAAGCCGGTAGTCCTGTGTTCATGTAAGAAGAAACGTGAACAGTCATGAGGCTGGTGGGGGTTCATGTCATCACAGGAAGCAATCACAACAGTGGAGCTGGGAGATGATGAAGGCCGGAATTACAGCAAAGGCCTTGGGGGTGGAGTGAACGTGGAATTGGGAGAGTGGGTCAGATATGAGACACAGCCAGAGAGGACCAGATTTCATCACTGAGGGGGATGAAGGAGGCACTAGTGGCCACCATGAGTCTGACTTAGGTACCTGTGGGATGGGTATGCATTTACTATACTGGGGGCCCAGGAGGAGTTGGAGGTAACTGAGGGGAGAAAAGTGACTTTGCTTCAGTATCTTATGACTCAGGGAGGCCTGCAGGACACACAAGAGCGAGCATCCCAGGTGCTGCCTGACTTAGTTTTCTTTAGTTCTGCTTGCAAAGTCAGAGAGAAGCAACATCCTGTCAGGGGCTGTGGATTCCCCTTTGGTCCCTCTGCTGGGTTTTCTCCAGCCCCTTGGCCTCAGGCAAGAGAGGAGCCAGCAGCGTAGCCTGCTGGGGGCTGCAGGGCAGGCTCTTAACACAGCAGGGCCCTTCAGATGTGCTGCAACTGACAATCCCAGGTCTACCGCCCACTGGCATCTGTTCACGGAGGCACAGCATCACAAATGCTCCGGACTGGAAGGGACAGTAGAGGTCACCCATTCCAGCCTCGGGGTTGGCATTTTCAGACTGTTCTAATAATTCAAGAGTCCCTCCTTCTATTATGCAGGAGACTGTTTCTTCTGACATCCCCTCAATACGCTGTTAACGATGTGGTCCACCCACGTACCTCTTCGTAAGAAGCGTGCAGGGGCTCGTGTTTGTGGATCTGGCAGTGAGGGACACGACGAGGCCAGATTTGGGAGCACAAGTTTTTTGTCCTTCACATTACAGCTACCAGAATGGTCTCCATGGTGACGGCAGCTTCTCAGAGGTATCTAGATTTTCATTTTCTATATTTCCCTAAGTGTCTAATTTATGAATAATCTGTTTGGGTAACCTGCTGGCAAGTATCTGTATGTATATGAATATCAAGAAATAGATATTTATATATATTCAAAACACCAAAAAAGTACAGTGATGGGCATTTGTGGTACATTTTTTTCCTCTCCCACTAAAAACAGAAATTAGGATTGACTTTAAAATTTTCAAGTTAAACAAGATTCAATAAAAGAAACACTGCCTTCATGTTCTTCAAAGGCATGTGAGCCAGAGAGGAGCCAGAGCTAACCTAATTATGTTTTCTTTAATGTGAAAAAGCTATTTGCCTGACATGCTATTTGCATCTCACCATCACATTCAAACGGCTGGGACATTGATTTTTTTTTATTTTCTGTGGCTTCCTTTGAACATGAAAGTGTTTTTTTCCCCCCTTGTGAGAGCAGTGATAAGAATGGATCGATAATTACATTGTTGGATAAAAATGAATATAAATTTTATTGAAAAACAACACCAGCAACAACGTGGGGAAAGCATACTCAACAGTCACCGGCCCACACAACTCAGTGCACATGTTATAAAAAGTAATCACCTGTTAAGGTTTCCAACTACTTACTCCAAATGAAAAGAAATCATAGACCTCAGGGAAACTGATGTGGGATGCAGATGGACACCACCTTAGAACACTTTGCTGGTAGCAGAGGACGGGGCACCACCATTCACCCTGTGTCCGCTGTGGACCATCTAGCGTATTTCAAGGATTAGTTGGCTTGGAGAGAACTAGTGCTTCCAGGGAGCGTGGCATGTAAAACCCCAGACCGCTGGGAAAACGCTTCCACTTTTCAAGTTCTTTGAGAAGAGGATTTCACAAACTTCTTGGCAACTTGTCCCTCTGCTTAACAACAGGAAATAGTTCTTTAAGTCTAGCCTAAATCCTTCATGCTTCAGTTAATCTATTTACTTTCTTTTAAACTCAGCACGCTGGGTGTGAGGAGTTTGTCCTGGTGGGACATTGTAAAGGATGGGGATGATCATAATCACAATGATCATAATCAGATTGAAAGCGGAGTCCAGCGGTGGTCGTAGCGCTTCTGAAACCAGCTGAAAAGAAGTCGATTGCTGCTGTGGTGGTGGCCCACCTGCCCCTGTGCTCCCCCATCCTCCCAAACCCTCCGCACCCCCTTGTGCCTGTGGCCTGAGAGTTGCCACCCTAGGACCAGCCAGGAAAAGCCCTCTGAGTTTGATCAGTTTCAGTCTTTCACTGGCATAGTAATGAGTGTGGTCAAAGCTGTCCCACCTAGTCCTGTGTCCACTGTTTCTGTTTCAAGATGGGATTTCCGGGCAAAGCACTCCCAAATCCTATTACATTCCCTGTCTTCTCACCATGCCAGGCTGGCCTCGCAGCTTGCGCGTGGCAAACACGTGCTCCGTGTACACACGAGGAAGCACTGAGAAGCTACAAGAAAGCACCCACTGAATATAACATAAACATCTCAGCTGCGTTTTTCAAGTTCTGCGTAAAAACCTCGGTGACAGAGTCAGCCTCGCGGAGGTGTGCAGCGCGGGCAGCTCCGCACGTTGGACACCAGGGGGCGCCCGTGCCCTTCCACCAGTCGCTGGGACGCGTCGACCGGGAAACAAAGATGGGGATTTGGAGAAAAGACTTCAAAATGCAACACAGGAATTCTACCCTGAGCAGCGTGCGTGTAAAAATTCATGAAGATTGGATTTCATTTCATGTATTTTTACTTCAGTGGAAAGAAATGCAGGTGATTTTCTGGCTCTGCCTACAGCTGTCTTTACAAAGGGGTGCCTGGTTAAACATGAGGGAGGGGCGGGGATGCTCCGGTTCTCGGGACACGCATCTCCTCTTTTGCTGGGTGGCGTCCTCTGCACGCTCCAGAATGTATGGCTTAATTATATTGTTTTTGAAAAGATGCGTGTCGTTCTCTGCAGGACTAGCTGTGGCAGCCGGTCCAGTGAATGACATGAGTCACGGAAGGCACTTATTATTTTGATGAAACACAGCACATTTCTTTCAGTCCGTAAAATCAAAGGTGTGAGAAAAGACTGTTTTCAGGGTGTAAAAACTCCCCTTGTTTCCCTGTCGTGGTTCACAGTAGTTCCGCCTCTGGGGCCTCTGTGCATTTCCCAGGTGTGAGGGACATGGTGCGCAATGCCTGGCTGGCAGAGCCTGCCAGAGGGCACTGGACACAGGCCAGGGCAGCTCAGCCCCCCGTGGGGGTGCTCCCTTCCTGTTCCAGGGCCCCCTGCCTGGTGGAGGATGGGCACCGCTGTAACATCACTCTGGGCCAGGTCCATGCTGGGTGGCAGTGGGGACTTTTGGGGGAAGGAGCTCAGGGGTGTTGGGAACCTGGAACTTCAGCAGGCCTGGGCGAGGGAGGCTGCTGGTCCCCCAAGCTCTGGGATGCAGGGGCAGGCCCCTTGGTTCCCTCTGTAGGCCCAGCATCTAGCACAGTGCCTGGTGCTTCTTAAGTGCCCCACGAACATTTCTTGGATACACAAATGTGAGAGGAAGGCAGAGGAGGCTGTGAGGGTCCCTGACCGGCCCTGGCTATAGCTGAGCCTTGGGGTATTTGGAGCACCAGCGGGGGGAGAGTCCTGGGCAGTGCTGGCTCTCAGGGGCCGCAGAGCTGAAGCCAGGAGGTCAGCAGGGACCACCCCAGTTGTCTCTGCGTGCCGGGAGGGTGTTGCAGTGGCCACGCACGGCCTCTCCATCCTTCCCTCTCTGCTGCCCTTGCTGGAGCCAGCCTTTCCGCTGTTGCCATGGCAACGCCAGCCTGAGGTGCTGCTGAGGGCCAGCTGGGCAGCTGAGGCTTCTCCGGCCTGAGCAAGCAGGGGACTCTGAACTGCCCCACAGCAGGTGGGACCCCCGGGGGCTCTCTTGTCAGAGAAAGGGAGGAAGCAAGACGGGATAGGGACAAGCACAAAAACCGCTCCCAGGGCAGGTGGAGGTCCCCCCAGGCTGGCGTTGCTGGCAGAGACCCTTGGGGCTGGCAGAGCCCTGTTATGGTGGGAGTCTGCTTGCACTGCAGAGTTTGCACTACACCCCCCGGCCGCCCTGCCCAGATCTGTATTTCGGGTTATCGGCAAGGCTCCCCAAGGGCTAGCAGGCGTTTTGGGGCTCCTTGTGAAGGGTGCAGGCGGGGCCCAGAGGCCCAGGCTCTGAAAGGGCCTGGAAGGGCACCCCAGGCCTTAGCCTGAACCAACTGCCCACCAGGCTCCTCTGAGAGCAGAGCTGGAGGTCTTATCCCTTAGACTCAGGTTGCAGGACGGCCATGGTGTCTCTCCACCCCCTGGTCCCCCACCAAGGTCACCCACGAGTGGGTACTGGCTGCTCTTTGCTTTGGAGTCTCCTCAGAACTTTCTGTTGCCACGTTCCCAGTGTACACAGGGACTGTGAGGGCCACCGGCCCCCAGCCAGTTGTTGGTCGGCTCGCTTCCTCTCTACACATTCTTTTTCCTAGGGCTCTTGAAGAGCAAGAAGCGCCGAATGAAGAGGCCGCAGGAATGCAGAAGATGGGCAGGTCTGGGGAAAAATGACGGTCCCACCTTCCCTGGGGCCCAGGAGGTGGTGAGAAACACTGAGATGTTACTTGACAAGGGCTCCAGGATTCAAGATGACTCAGCCTTGCAAATCCTGAGAATTCTCTCTCCATCACGTGAACAGCCTGCAGCCTGGCCAGTCTCCCTGCTTCCCCACATCAAGTCTACAACAAGAACAACAGCATGAGCACGAGAAGGGGCACCTGGGCAGTGTGGGCAGTTTACAATACCTTGGATTTACATAGCACCTGTTTCTTCTAAAGGACCTTTGCCTCTGTCCCCACGGCCATCGCCACAATCAGAGAAGCCATCAGAACACAAACATCACAGCTCCTGCGGCAGAGTGGGGAAAGTGAGGCAGAGGCCTAGAAGTGATTTCATGCAGACTCAGTGGTGTCCAGGGATCTCTGCACTTCCCTTGGGCCCTCCCGGGCAGGCCTGGCTGTGGCCCTCTGGGAGGTGTGAGGGGGCCCCGGGCCCTCACTGGGCGTTGACCTTGTACTTGAGGATGTAGGAGTAGAAGTTGTGGTTGGCGTTCTCCAGCACCATAACGTAGACCTCCTGGCAGCCGGCTGTGCTGCAGCTGCCCTCCCAGTAGCCCTCGCTGTTCAGGGTCAGAGGCCACGTGTCCTGCCCCTTCACCAGGGCTTTGGCGATGCCGTGCAGCTTCAGTTTGAATGGGACATTCCGGTTGGCGGGAAGGACGCCTGTCAGAGGCTCCAGCAGCTCATTGTCCTGCCCCCAGTTGCCAAAGCTCTCGGGGAACACGGGCCAGTTCACCTTGGTGTTGGTGCAGCACAGAAGGTAATTGAAGACGAAGAGGTAGTTGCCGGGTTCCTGCCTCTTCTTGACGAAGATCTTGAGGGCAAACTTGCCGGCGTGGGGCAGCTGGACCTTCAGCTCTGTCCGCTTCTCCCGCTGCAGCTGGAAGATGTAGCGCCGCTGCGTCTCCTCAGTGATGAGGCCATCGTCCCCATGCAGGGAAGCCAGGACGCTGACGCCCTCCTCCACATCGAAGCTGACGGAGCAGCGCCCGTCACTGGTGTGGATGATGGGGTGCGGGTGGGAGGGCTTCATGATGCCCATCTGCTCCGAGAACCAGCTGGGGCCCACAGGCTGGTGCAGCTCAGTGGGCAGCTGGACATCAACGTCCACATGGTTACACGTGAGGGTGTACTCTAGCACCGAGCTGTAGACGTCAGAGTTGCCTTTGGCAAAGATCTGCAGCTTGTGGGTGCCCACAGTGGGAGGGTACACCTCCAGCTTCATCCCATTCTTCCGGAGGCTCAGCAGCCCATGCTCCTGCTTGCCATTGAGCATGAACATGAACAGCGTTGGGGCACAGCTCTCAATGGTCACCATGGCCTTCCCGTTCACTGTGGAGAGAAAGCCCAGGTCAGGGGAGATGGGTCCAGGATGTGCTCCTGTGCTGGTAAATGCTGAACAACTGGCTCTCTGGGAGAAAAAGCCCGGACTTGTAGTTTTTGCCTATTCCCGTGGTGTAAATCCTTTCACCCCAGCATTTAAGCAACCCGTGTGACGTCACTGAACACGACATAGGCCGGCTGCAGCACACCACTGGGAGGGTCCCCCTATCCCCTTTAGGTGGTTCTCTTTGAGGGAGCTGAAAGCTGGGGGTCTCAAGAAGAAATCTGCCCCCCAGCCCAACCCATTGGATTCACATTAGATGAAGGTTGCATGGAAGCTTAGCCGATTCCAGAGCAGGGCAAGGGGCAAGGAGGGCCCCTCCTGGAGGCTGTGCTCAAGGGGTGGGGCTGCTCCTTCCTCTCCCCCAACCCCCATGCTTCTGGCAGAGGCTGTCTCAGCCATGTTTCTGGAATGAAGAGGCCGTGAGTGCACGGGCAGGTCTTCCGCCTCCACCCTCCCTCTGCCACTGCCCTTGCCCTGCGGTTTTGTCTTCCTCTGTCCTGGTGATTGCTTGTTGGAGACAGGTGGTCAGTTCTCTGGTCTTTGCAGCCCATGAGGACTCTCCTACCTGGTCTTCCCTGCCTTGCAAGACCACAGGGAGGGGCAGTGGTTTTTCTGGGAGCCTAGCCTTGCCTTCCCCTCAGAAGGCGACACCTGCTCCTCATCCCTGCAACCTCCCCAGCCCTGTTCATGGATGAGCTCAGGAGACAGGCTGTCTGATCCATGCCCACTGTAAGCTTTCCCCTATCTGGGGCCCAGTGATCTTGCTGGGGAGGCAGAAAGCCGTGCCTGGGCTCTAGGACAAGTGCCCGGGGACTTCGCATCTGATCTGCCACTAGACCCCGACTCCAGGCTGCTCGACCACTGCATTCAGTGCCAACTTCCAACTTGGGAATGAGAATCCCCACTCAGGCAGCAGGACAGGGATGGGAGCTCAGCCAGCCCCTCCCCTCTGCCTCCTTCAGGGGCTCCTCCATCTGGAAAACCTTCCCTGCCTCTTCAGACACGGCCAACTCCTCACCTCCCTGAGACCCCGACACCACCCCACCACTGCAGGTCCCCCCACCCATTTAGCTCTCTGAAATCTGGCCTCTGTCCCCACTTTCCAAAGTCTTCGGTGACTTCCTTGGAGTATCTAGGCTGCTGGCCATGCTTTCCTGGAAGTCCTCTTCTCTCCTCACCCTCTCCAGCCTGGCCCTCCTCCCCGCTTCTGACCACTGCCTGATCTCTGCTGCCATTCCTTCCCTTTCCATTAAACTAATTGTGGGGTCCTTTGTGCTTTTATGGCGTTTTCTTTGTCAACACTCTTTCTCCACTGCCTTCAGCTGCCGTGGGACATCTGTCCCAAGGTCACCCCCAAAGGAAAGTGACCAAGAACAATAGTCTTGTTATCCTCTCGGTTGAAACCTCCCTCTCCCCTCATTTCCTCTTGGAAGGTGGCTCAGTGGGCAGAAGCTGTCTCAGCCCTCAACTGCTCCTGGCCCTGTCCTGTTCCATCTCGCATCCGAGTTGGTTGTGAGGACCCTGTGCAATTCGCTGCCCAGCACCTTTCCACACGGCAGCCCAAGGGCTCCTGTGAAAATATCCACCTGCTCATTCCTGGACTCATGTCTGTGGGTCACATCAAACTAGAGACCAGTGGAGAGGCCTGTCCCCTCCTGCCTCCTTCTCAGGGCCACAGGGCATCCTCCAGGGTCACACACCTTCACACCCCAGGGCCCTCACACATGCTCTTCCCTCCACCGCTTTCCCCCAAGCCTGGATAAGATCTCAACGTAATGTCCTGACTGCAAAGAAGCCTTTCCTGACTCCTCAGGTGAGGCTGAGGGGCCCGGAAGCCTCTCTCCTAGCCCTGCATCTCCCTCAGGGAGCGTGGCCCCATTGTGATGAGTTAGTTTTGTTCCATGTCTGTCCTCCCTGCTGGGCATGGGCAATATGGGGAAGGGCCCACCTGCCTCCTTTCTCGCCTTGTCTCAGTGCCTGGCTGGGTGCCCGGCCCGGAGGGTTCTTGGCAAAGGCCAGTTGAATGGCTGGAAGACTTGAAATAAAGGACTGGTGACCCTGGGACTCTGTAGGAGCCTGTGACCTCCTCTGCACCCTCTCCCTGCTCCCCTTAGCCCTCCTTAGCTCCTGCTCTCCCTGGCTTCCCACCTCCCCTCCTATGTCCTCCTTCCCTGCCTCTTGCCCACCTCAGTTTCCCTCTTCTGCTTCCTCCCCAGCCCCACTCTTAACCTAACTAGCTCCAACAAAGAGATATTCTTTGCATATGCATCATGAATACAGAATCAAATTGTACATTACTATGTATCAAGAACCCACTGTTTACATTTCTACGTCTCTTGAAAAGGCGAACTCTGCTCAGTGGCATGATCTGATGCTGGTGCCACCTGGTCCCTTCTTCCCTGTGGTTCCGTGGCCACAAGAGACAGAACAGGCTCCCATCTGACGGAAGGCAGGAAATGCATTCCAAAGACAGCAACCTCACGCTGTCCCTTTAGCAGCAGGAGCCGCCAGGTGTTTGTCGTTTTAAAAAGTATTCCAGAGCTCAGCAGCCTGGTTAAGGGAACCATTGTGAAGTGGAAGGGACAAGTCGGCTGGTACTAACGTGGGTACCCCTACACTCCTTGGGGTCCCCATCACCCCACAGTGTGGAGTGGGACCCCTCCGGCTCTGGACCCACCCACAGGCCATCCTGTGCTAACAGCCCATGTGAGCTCAGGCCTTTCCTTCTGGGAGGACACAGGCCCCCTGGTGGCAGAGATGGTGCAGACAGGCAGTCCTTGGCGGAAGCACGGGGCGTGCACTGACCCTTCAGCGTGTCCAGGCTGTGTGCCCAGCCCCGGACCAGGCCCCAGGACCTCGGAGATGCATAAGACACCGTCCGCTGGAGACAGCTCTGCGAGGCCCATGACCACAGTTCTGGGACCCCAGGTCTGGCCCCTTATATGTCTCATAGTGCACAAACACACCCAGCTAGCTGCCTGTGGCCCCCATGGGGAGGTCCATGCTAGCCATGGGGACAGCTCAGCCTGGGGTCCTGCACTGCCCAGCCCCAGGGAAGCTGGCTGCGAAAGGCTGGATCTGGCCTCCAGGAGGGAGAAAGGCAGAGCAGCTGGCAGAGCCAACGGGCATTGAGGCCGGCAAGGGAAGGGCACTGAGGAGGTCAGGCATTGCTCCTGGAGCCCGGCCCTGGTCTAGGGGGCCTGGGCTCAGAGGGTGGAGGGCTTGCTATGCCCTTTCCAGAACATCCGTCCTCGTCTACCACGACGATGCCTGCTCTCCTCCAGCTCCCAAGTCCCAGCTATGGGCCATCTCCCTAAGAAAGCCTCCTCCCACCTCTGTCCTGGAGACCCCCGAGGCTCCCGACTAGCTGGTTAGACTACCAACACACAGATCCCATCTCTGCTGGGCTGACACATGCTCTCTGCCAGGAATTGTGAGGAGATCACAGCAGGATCGTGAGCTCCTGGTGGACACCTGAACTGGGAGGCGGTGTAGCCACGGCAGAGGCAGTGGGATCTCTGCTGTGTGAGCTGAAAGAGACTCACCAAGCGTGGGACCGGCCAGCCCGGCTCCCTGACATGGACAGTGAGTGCAGCCCTCAGGGCCTAGGGAAACCAGCAGACTTCCTATGTACCCCTTCTTGGTTTATGCTTCTGTGTGGGCTTCTGTCCGTGCAAATGTGACCTATGGCCACATCCTGCCCTGATGGCCTGACGGCCTTGGTGGCCTCAGTAGCCCCCACTTCCCCACACACATACAGCCTACACTGAGCTCACAGGCCCTGCTGGGGCCCTGCTAGGGCAGTCCCACGTGGGCCAGACCTAGAGGCACGAGCAGGCCGCCCTGTCCCTGTGCCGGTGCCTGGCCCCTGCCCCCGGATTACCTGTTTTGATCGTGGAAGTCTCTGGCTGGGCACTCAGCATCCCCTTGTTGTAGAATTCACTCTTGTGATACATGTTGCTCTCAAACTGCCTCAGGGATTGAGGAGGTTTTAGCAGTTGCCAGTTCTTGTTGTCTGGAAAGTGGTCCTCGATGAACAGTGCAGGATGGGTAAGGAAGTAGAATTCATTGTAGCTAGAACCGGAAAAAGTAGGTCAGTAGCCATGTGGGAGGAGCAGGCCCCAGCTCTGCTGAGGGGAGGCAGGGCTCTCAGGGCGTCTTTGGGGTCTTCTTTTGGCCAAAATACCCACAGAAGGGGTCCCACTGTCACCCTGAATGGGAAGAGGCACCATGTCCAATCCTAATGTGGGCACTGGAGACTCCCCCTCAGTGTCTGCTTCTAGCAATGGGAGCCAAGGCAGGTCTGAGGCCCCAGCTAAGCGATGGCCACAGCCCATGACTGTATCTAGGTGGGAATGGGCTCCTCCTGCTCTCAAAGCCAAACAGACATGTGAAGGGAGCAGAGGTGTGACCCGCGGACCAGGTGCAGGCCAGTGAGTGGAGGGAAGGAGAGAGCGAGGGTGCCTGGTGCAACAGCTAGCTCTGCCCCCAGCTGGTCTTGTGCCTGAGCAGCTGTGCGGTGGGAGGCCCTTCCATGGTCCCTGGGGCCCCTAGACGTGGTTGTCTGATGTCAGTGATGGGGATCACGGGAAGAATGGGAGACTCATTTGAGATGGGGGAGGCTTCACTCGGCCCAAGGCGAGTGGCGCCCAGAGCTGACGGAGGCAGAGGACGCGTGTGAGCGCACAGCCCTGTGTGTGTGGGGGTGTGCGTGCACTTGTGTTTGTCCCATGTGCAGGACTGTCAAAATTTAAACTGCAAAAATCAGAGACAATACTCTCATTTTCTAGATAAAAAGGAATCTGAGCTGCTGATGGACGTCATGATGCAGGAGGAATGTCATGGCCTCAGCTTAAGGCCAGAGTTGGCCAGAGCCCTGGAGGACACACATGCTCCTGTCCCCTGCACCCTAGCTTCCCTGCCCCAGTGTGGCTCACAGCGGCTCTGCGCACCGACAGCACCCTTCCCACAAACCATAACCCCTTCCTCAGACATGTGATCGGCCTCATTCAGCCCAGAGAGGAGGAGGAGGCCGGTGTCTGGAGGAAGCAGGAGGAGAGGATGCTGGCATCTGTGCACAGTAGTAGTTGATGGGCCAGAGGCCTGGAGGGAACCTACAGACAGTTAAAGAAGCTTCTGGGCCTTGCCTTTCCTCACGTGTGGCTGTGGGCAAAGGCTGGAGGCTCTCAGCACTAGGCTGGGGGAGCCACGGGGAGCCGGAGCAGGGATTTAGTTGCGGGAAGGTGAGGTGACAGAAAGGTCTGGGCCCTTGTAAAATTGGCCTGGAGCGAGCTCACTGCAGCGTGGGAGGAAGGGAGGCAGCGGCAGCAGCAGGTCGAGGCCACCCTAGCTCTGCTCCCCTCCCACCTGGCCTTCTCCACCCTCAACCACACGCCTCTTCCATTTCCACGGACCAGACACGCAGCAGAACAGAGACGTGTACTCACAGGAAGGTGAATTTGGAGGTGGCGGAATCCACCAGGCCACTGCCCCAGGTGCTGTCCACCAGGTGCCATCTCCCGTCCAGGTACACGGCATTCCAGGCATGGTCAAACTCCCCGGAGAAGCTCTGCCCCGTCTGGTAGCCAAAGCCCTTGGAGTAGCCGGGCACGGTCATGCACTGCACTCCAGCGATCCTGGGGGCGGGAGGGGGTCTGAGAGTGTGCTCCTGTGGGCTGGCCCCCCGAAAGTCTGTCTGTCTGTGGCCCGAGGCCTCAGGCAGCTCTGCTGTCCGTCAGTCCTTCTGTGCCTCTCCTCTTTTCTTCCCCTCACACAGTCACGTATGTACAGCCTGAGGGCTTTTATCTCCACCCCGGGGGACAAGGGGGCACAGGGCTGGCCGCAGTCCCTGCTGTCTGCTCCTCCCTCGAGACTGTGCAAATCACTCCCGAAACGTCTCTCGGCAGAGCCTGCCTGATGCTCCACCAGCAGCTCTTCAGGATGATGGGGGCAACAGCGAGGACTGCAAGAACGTGGAAACCAGGGATATGGCGATGTTCCTGAAGAACCAGGGAGGCTCTGAACATGTGGCTGAGAAGCTGGGTGCAGGTGACATGGGTGGGGCGTTAGGGAAGGGTGCCAGACATGAAGGTACAGAGGGAAGCTGAGCCCTACTCCCCCACTACGTCCTGCCCAAGGATATCTGTGTGGGGACCCTGGGGCAGCGCAGCCAGAGTCTCCCGCCCCGACCCGGGAGCACTGGCCCATGGCCAGGATTGCTCAAGTCCGACTGCCAGGGCCACACGGTGCATTGTCGTCTGCTGACTGATTGCCCTGGCCACACTTTTGGAGTCCCTGGTAGCTGTCCTATGGGAAATGCTGACCAGTCAGCTGGAGCTTTCCGTGTGCTCCCCCACTGCTCACAACCAAGCTGGCCCCACTGTCTGAGGCCTGGACAGTGGGGGGTGGGCTGGTCCCCTCTGGGGACCACAGAAATCATGAGCAAGCTGCAATCTGGGTGTTTGTAGCTGACACCCTGAGGCCCAGACCTGGGCTGTGGGCACCCCCTGAGGCCAAGGCAAGAGCCCCGAGGGTCCTGCCATGGCCCCGGCTTTCTCTTCAACAGCTGCACACCAACGGCAGCCAAGGGGATGCTGCTACCCTGACCCGGGGGACACCCTGTGCTGGCCCTGCTGGGGCCTCTGTGTGGACTAGAAAAAGCCGCCTCGTCTTCAAGACACTTTCCTTCCAGTTGTGGAAGACGGGTGTAATACACACACAATCTCTGAGATCCGGGTGTGCCTGGTGCCCCTAGATGCGGCTCCTTTGAGCGCCGCACGCGCTGCCCCGCTGACCATGCACCCCGCTCAGAGGACTCTGCAGCCAGTGGTGCAGTGGCCTCGTGGATTCCGCCACCTCCAGATTCACCTTCCTGTAAGTACAAGCACGAGTCTGCACCCGAGGTCAGCCGGGCCTCCTTCAGGGAGGCGGCCTCTAGTGGTCGGGGTCCTTCCATGGAGCAGGTTGGCTGCCTCAGGTGCTCTAAACCTGAGGGCATGGAGCCTCTCAGGTAATGGGGAGAAATGGCTACTCATTCACTATAGGAATGGGGGAAAATTTTCCCTATAAAAACCAATATTTAATTATGTTAGTAGAATATTAGATTAAATATTACTTATCTCTATCCACTTATCATTTGTTGAGTCAATGAGGCAAAATGGGGAGCCTGCAGGTTACCAGACTGCACCCTGCTGTGGTGCTGCTTCCTGTGCACACGACGACCCCGTCCCTCCCCTGCAGGGCGTAGGCCACTTTGCTGAGGTGACTTCTGGGCTTGGATGTTCGCAGCCCTGAGCTGCTGCCTGCAGCTTCACAAAAGGAGGTCCAGACCTCCCAGGCTGTCTAAGAGATCCCACAAGAACAGACCAGCTGGGCCTGTGGGAAGGATTCCAGGAGCACTGGGGGGCGGGGGCAGAGAGCAAGAGAAACTGGATCCTGATGTCCGGGGCTGTCTGCTGGTAAAGACCAAAACCGACTCCCGGGGCAGAAGGGCGGACCAGAGGCAGGAGGCCTCAGGAGGCGGCGGGCCGAGGAGCCCGCGGAGGAGAGAAGCGGCAGCAGGCACCCCTGGAGAAGCCCCTGCCTCATTCAGCTGCCCCGCTGCAGAGGAGGGCCGTGAGGGGATGCAGGCCGAGGGGGTGTTCCCAGGATGGGAGGTCTGAACTTGTTTACAGTCTTAGAGGAAACAGCTAGCAGACAGGGAGGGGCGAGGCAAGGCCAGGAAGGTGGGATGGAGGTAGGGGTGAGGTGGGCCTTCCATAGGAGGTGGGCTCCACATACTCAGAGAGCAGGTGAGGAGAAGAAATGTGAAAAGTGTTTAGGGAGGTAAGAAATGCTCCTGACACAATGCTAATTGCAAATAGCCTATAAAATTCTACCATCAGCACAATGCCTGTGTGTGTGCGTGTGTGTGTGTGCGCGCGTGCGTGTGCACTGAGGACGAGAGACAGAGGGGGACGGCAGAGTGAGAGAGACAGCACAGAAGTCACCTGGTCTCTTGGTAATGGGATTATGGGTGATTTTCATTTTCTTCTTTAGACTTCTCTATATTTTCTAAATTTTCAATAATGATCATGCGTTACTTTTAGAACTGGAAAAAATCCATAAATACTACTTGAAATTACATTCTTTGGTGAGTTATTTTCTTTCTTGCCCAGAACACCTGTGCATGCCAATTTCAGGATGACGTGGAGTATGGATAAGGGGAGACCTGGGAACAGTGACGTTTAGAGAACGGCCTGCTTTGCAGTAAGGTGAACGGATTGAGTGGAGCTGTGGACTTCTGGACACGCTGCCCACTGATGCTCGTCCTCTGCTCAGCGCCCCCTGGAGTCAGGAAGGAAGGCAGAGCATCGACCGTCCACGCGGCCTCCAGGGGTTGCGGTAAAGTGGAGCAGGATCTGATGCGGGCGGCATGGCCAGCTCACACTCTGCTTGAGCGTGCTCCTAGGAGAAGCCATGTCCCCGTGCACTGTGCCAGGGGGTATCCTCCCTCTGAGGGGGTGAAGTGGAGGTAAGATTTGAGAAGCAAGTGGGGAACAGGAGTGAGAGTCCCCGCCCCAAGCCTGGAAAGGGCTGAAGGAGGGACAAGTGAGCGGCAGGACGTCTTCCTGGAGGCTCCGGGCTGGAATGGGCGTCCCTTGGCTGAGCCAGGAGATCAGGGCTCTACTCCCCGCTCTAATGGTCACCTTCAGTGTGACCTTGGCATGGAAAAAAAGAAAGGTTGGCATTAAGTGATCCCTGGGGGTCGATTCTCCTCTGACAGGCTGAAGAGAGGCTGGAGGCTGTGCAGAATGCCTGGGGCAGAATAAAGATGAAAAACCAGGCTCAGCTGTAAGCTTATGCCCTGCTCGACGTGATGTGAGGGTATTTTATTACCTGGCAGCAATGTGCAAGATGAATTGGACAAAAAAGTCACACTGTAAAGCATTGTTGTTAATAATCCATAATTCTCATGCAAAATTGTGGAACTAGTAATTCCAGCCACTGGTTGCTAGTCAGGATGACCCAAGACCATTTCATGTCATCAAAAGATCACCGACTATACACACTATGTGGAAAGCACTGCACCAGGCACCAGGGAATAATGTACCATCATGCTATGCTATGCTATAATAAATAATATAATAAATACTATAGCATAATAAAATATAATATTCCAAAAATAAAGCTCACTGGCTGCCCCAGATGTGCTCATAGTGGGGCAGATATGTGAGCTGTCACTAAAATGCTGGTGATAAGCACAGCCCTGGGGAACCCAAGGGAAGAGGAATTTGCTTGAAAGAGCTGGGAGAGCGTTGAAGAAAGGGCTGAGGATGAGAAATGTTTCCACGTCTGGAATAGCTCTGACCAGTCATCCTAGAGCCCAAAATATCACCCAAGGAGCTCTAATAACCTCAGGCTGCAGAATCTTGGTTTTTACTTTTGACAGTTTTGAAAATCCCAGTGCCAATGATATTAAACGAGGAGGTGGCGGATCTGGACTGTAACCATCATTTTATACAGAGATGGTCCAGGCCCTGCCGCAGGAACCATGTAAAGCTGCTGTAGCCACACCACTGGCAGGCAGGGTCACTGACCTGTCTGGGGTAGGCAGTGCGCCCTGTCCACATCAGGCTCTGACCAGAGCAGACTTCCCCAACTCTGACACCTCTCCCAGGATGTCTGAGCCATGTGGGAAAAAAGGGAGGGAGGAGGGCAACGAAGATTGCTCTTTTTTTGGTATCTTATTGAAAATATTGTGATTTCTAATAGCGAAATTAGGAAATATGGTTTCATTAACTTCAAGCCCAATAGTCACTTTAACTGGGCAAGCATTTGTGAATTAGAAATTTTAGGGTCTTGCTGTTCCCGAAACATTGGTCCTCAAGGAAGTTAACATTATTGCAGTAAAGGTAAATTCTAAACTGACAAAAAATGGTGTTTTCTATACTGCACAGAACAAGCATAACCATGACTTAACGTTACATAATTTATGTAGTTGATTTCTTGTAAATTTGACAGTGTCAATTTCTGCTATACGCTCCCCTTTCTCTTTTCTTATACCACCCTTACGGCAAGGTCAGTAACTGTAATCACAGTAATAATTCTCACTCCAGGGCCCTGTTTAGAGCCCCTGAGGCGTGATCTCAGGCCTGTGGGGAGTCAGCTGTTCAGAGAGGGAGGCTGACTTGTCTGGGAACACACAGCCAGTCAGTGGCCAAATCAGTAGCAGGACACAGTCGTCCTGATTCACAGTTCTGGAGGCTTAGCATTGCACTGGTCATTTTATACACCAAGATTTGTTTTAATCTATAACGTTAAGGGTGATGTGCAGAGCGAAATTAAAGGATGGTTTGCTCTAGTGACGTAATTCATCCTTTGTGAGCACTATCCTTTGGTGTCTCTGTAAGGGTGGGGGGCGTCTAGATCTCCCTTTTCGAGGCCCTATATGAGAAAGTCAGATTTGGGGATAATCTAAGGTTGTCCAGTGTATCTGCCTCTCCCAGGAGGCTGAGCCAGTCACTTCCCAGCCTTTGGGGCCTTTGGAACCAAGTGCTGTTTTGGGATCATCGGGGACATCATGCTGAGCAGAAGCCTGCCACTGCTCTTGCTCTCTGTGACAGCTGGAGGATGGATGGAAAACTGCTGACATCTGATTGGTGACAACCAGTCCCCTCAGCATCAAAGCCTCAAACTGGTAATAAGCTCCTGGCTTTATCGAAAGTTTCTGGAAAATCTGCTCACTGGTGGTGTTAGAGCTGTGATAACAGGGGGAAGGGATGTACTGGAGGCTGACTCAGTGGCAGGAACCTGGGGAATTAATCTGGGCCCCTGCCTGGGAATTAAGTAAAATACATTAAGGCTGTGGGGAATTGAGGCAAAAGGAGAGACATTAATGCTGGACAATAGAAAGTCCGAAGGAAACTGGACCAGCAGTTACAAGCAATAACACCAACAAAAACCTCACATCAGTTACTTGGGCAAGATGATGAGGAAAGAAATGATGTTGCAAAAATATCTGAATTCCCCACCAAATTACTTTATTAAATCAGTCTTTAATGAGGCCATTGCAGGGAGGCGGAATGGACTGGCAGAAGTAATGATGGCCATGTGGGTACAACTCTTGCTAAGAGGCCACTCTGACAACTAAGCAGGAATAAATCAGTAAGTGTGGATTACATGTCTTCGATTATTGAGGAATCAGCTAACGAATTTACCAAACCTTCGGCAGTTATTTTAAAGGTAAGGGGAATTTAGGAAGGTGATGCATGCGTGAGTTACCAATTTTTACAGCAAAAGTTAAAGGAATTCAGGGAACTGGGAGTTATTGTTACACGTCCTGGGAAACGTGAAGAATCTTGCACAGGGTAACTGGCAGGTTGAAACCTAACTTTAAATGATGCAAAATGTTGGGATGTGTTTTAATGATCAGCTGCAGGCCAGAATATGGCTATTGTTAAGCATCTGGACCAGGCCAAAAAGCTGACAGTTTCACTCAAGGCAAGTGTCAATTTTCTAAGTCTATGTGGGTTTATGTGTGTCTGTAGGAAAGTTCCACAGAGCAAAACCACTCCAATACTCAAGACAGGCAAGAAAGGTTAAAAAAACAACCCCAAAGTCAGGTTAGCAACCCCCAAACTGCATGTTCTCATTTAGTCCTGCAGTCCTGCCACCAGGCACTATAGTCCCCAGGGTACAGATGGGGAAACTGAGGCTCCAAGAGGTTAAGTGCCCTCCCCAGGAACAAAACTAGTAAGTGGTAAATCGAGGACTGTAAGTTAAGGACAGGTAAACTGAGGACTGGAAAAGTCTAGCATTCCTTCTATCCCATGCTGGAAAGTTTGTCCTGGATAAAGAAGGATATATTCTGTGACTTAAAAACCCCAAATGTTTTCAAACTTGCTAATTCAGATGAAAAAAATTATGTTCTGAAATATGCGAGGCACAAATAAAGCTGCAAACAGATCAATGGTTATTCCATTATTTAAAAAGAGAATAAGACCTATTTCAGATGAGTCTGCTAGGAATTTCCTGTCATTGAGGGCCTCCTGTGTGTAGAGAGGCAGAATCCCAGGGGGAAGCAGAAAGAGAGAGAGGGGCCAAAGACGTATAAGATCCATGAGACACATGGGAAGGAATGAGCACAGGCCACACCTACAGGATAGAACAAAGCCTGGAAAGGGTGATCTCTGAGTGTAGGACTCACAGTAACAATTTTCTTCCTTTTGCTTCTGTGCATTTTATAAATCAACTACAATTAATAAGCATTTTTTTTTTAAATTTGGAAAACTTCTTAAATAAAAGCATAAGGCAAGACATGAGCTTGCGTATACGGTGTGCTGATGAGGGAGGGAGAGGTGGTGAGCCATCCTGGAGTGGGGCCTGGAAGGAGCACTGGGGAGAGGGGAGCAGAGTGAGCCTGAGGAGGTGAAGTGCGGGCAGTGTCAAGGGGGCCGGGCTGGAAGGGCGGTTGTGGTCAGATTTTGGAGGCCTGGGGAGCCTCGGCAGGGGGCTAGTGAGGATCCTGGTTCCTAGAGAGGCCCAAAGGCACGTGGGGGCACCTGGGTCTGGGGCGGGGGGTGGCAGTGGGAATATGCGGGGTGGAGAGGGCTGCTCTGGCGGAGTGGCTGGGGAGCGGAGGGGCTGGTGTCCTCTGCACCATGACCTGTCTGGGTTTCCTCTGGGGCTGTGGTCTCAGGGGTGGGCCTTAGAGGTGGGGCAAGAGAAGAACGGAGAGCAAGCAGGAGGGTTGGAGCAACACAGGGCCAGGCGCCTGTTCATGCTTGGCAGTGGTGACAGGGGTGGGAGGCTGTACAATTGGGGGTCACGCCAGGAATGGTTGTGTGTCCCCCAGGAGCAGGACGTCTTGTGGCCACCCATGCAACACTGACACATCACAGCTGCCACCTGTGGATTCTAAGTGTTTGTTGCTACACGTGGTTTGGTGAATCGCCACCTGCAGTCCTGGTGGGCTGACATCCGGGTGCCTGAGATGACCCACTCCCAGAGGCCTGCAGAGATAGTGGGCAGCAGTCCATCCATCCCCCTGCGGAGAGGGTTTTTTGGTGGCCCCCAGCGCTGGTTGACTACTTCCCGGGGAACCCAGCAGACTTCAGAGAGTGGGCCCAGGAAGCCACGGGTGTCAGCGGGGCTCCCTCAGCCTTGAGTCTGTCTCGAGGTCACTTGGAACCAGCAATGATTTCCTTACCAGCCACTTGCCTGCTGTCACCCGCCCTGGCAACCTGGCCAGTGCTCACTCCCAGAGCAATGAAAATGGAGCCCAGAGGCTCTAAGAGAGAAGCTGCCTCCTCGTTATTCAGCTTTTCCAACTAACACATCTTTTCAGGTAGGAGAGCTTTTGTTTCCCCCGAAAAGGCCCCTGCGCCAGCCCGGAGGACAGCCTTTCACAGTCCCCTTGGCGACAGCAGCCACTGTCCTCCCGTTCCCAGATCTGCCATTCTTCTAACCTTCAGCTGCACAGAGATGGGAGAAGGTGGAAAAAGGGCCTTTTATAACCAAATTATCTCTGTGCATTCATCTGCCATTATGTTAATGCATCGCGAAGCCCGGCAGATGGTACAAAGTCAATTATGCTGGTGTTAAAAAGGGAGAAATTGACCTTTCCAGGACTCACTTGGATTCCAGAACAGAGTTTGCAAACTCAGGTTTCAGGCCTGGCATGTGGGTGAAGGCATACAGCGCTCTGAAAGGGGAAGGGGGTGGGTCGGGGTGGTCAGCCCTGGGACTGCCTGCCTTTCCCTGGAGCACTCTCGTACCTGCACATTTTCTCAAAGAGCCCGGCGTAGCCGTCACAGTTGGTCTTCTGGGTCCGCAGGATGTCAGTGGGTTTGAAGGCCTGGCGATCCTTCTCCTGGGCAGCCTCGATGTCATACTCTGGAAGGCAGAGGAGGAGGCTGTGAAGAGCCAGGTCCTGGGAGTCTGGTGCAGAGGAGAGGAGTGGGGTCCACCCTCGGCTGTGCTTTCTGCATCATTCAGGCCGGCCTCCCTCAGGACCAGGAGAAGCCGCTGTGGGCTGAATGGGACCAGGGACCCAGCCTGGGCGAGATCTGGGCAATGTCACCTCTTTGTGCAGGTGGCGAGAGGAAGAGCAAGGCCTTGGCAGGGCAGGCCACCTGGCTCTCCAGGCCTCTGAGGAACGGCTGGGAGGGGAAGGGATCAAGACAGCAAGGGGGTGGGGGGCTCTGCCCGCTTGTCCCCACCACCACGCAGCTCTGCGAGCAGTTCAGTCCCTGCTGGCCCGCCCCTGTGCTGCCCCAAGGGCAAGGCCCCACACTGACCCACAGGGGGCGCACTGGGCGACTGTTGAAGCTTGCCCAAATAGAGAAGACTGCTGTCACACAGCCTGTCACTCCGCGAACAAGAGAGCCCCAGGCCTGCGGTAAGGCCCTGAAGCAAGAATCGCTGTGGCCACTGAGGGCACAAAGGGACTGCGTGTGTGTGTGTGTGTGTGTGTGTGTGTGTGTGTGTGTGTGTGTGTCTGTGTGTTTGTATCAGGGTGGAGGCAGTAAACAATGTCCTACCAAATGCTCTGTTTCTGATCTTGCCCCCTTAAGGCCCCGGCTGAGCTGCTGGAGTTGGGGTGGGAGGAGCCGGCCCCTCAGGCCCTAGGGCCTGTGTCAGGTGAGTTCATGCTCTGAGCCACACCCCTAACTCCTGCTCTGGGAGGACAAAGGAAAAGCCCAGTGGCAGCAGGTCAGGAAAGCCCCAGTGGTCGTTGTGTCACAGGGAAAACACGAGGAGTCCACTCCACCACCTGGCTCCTCCATCCATCGCAAGGGGCAGCATCCCCTAGCAACCACCATGGGGCTTGGCATGACCTGGTGAGACTCCCAAGGCTGTCCTGTGCTGAGCTGTGGGCAGCTGCACAGGCCCAGACCCCTGAGGTGGCTCTGAGAATCTGGAGACTGGGCTGAGACCACGGCCAATGTTGCCGATGTGGGAACAGGGAGCAGGGAGAGGAGAGCCCGCCCTTCTTGGCATTGGTACTTTAAGAGGCCTCTGGCGTTGCAATAACTTTTCCAACAGCTGTGACTCCTCCCCAACCGATGGTCATCCCTCTTGGAGATGACTTTCTGTCCTGAGTTCTCATCTCTGTGGAGCAGCTTTCCCAGGAGGCCAGGATGGAGGGAAGGCTGTGGCTGGGCAAGGGCCTCAGCTCTGGCCACTGGCTGTGGGCAGAGGGCCACATGGGATCCCCCACCCAACGACCCTTCATGGAGACTGTTAGCACACGGCGAGCTGTACCCTCCTTGGTCAGCCTTTGGTTATTCAATCCAGCCATCTGGGAACCCCACTCCTCCATGTCCATCTCACTCTATATACACTGGTGATCGACTGAGTCCCTGAGATGCTCCCCTGGGAACGAGGGCCTGCAGGGAGTGGCATCCAGGGATCCCAGAGCAGTGGCGCCACAGGTGGGCCTACCTATGTGGTGGCAGATCCAGATCCAGATGGCGCGGACCCTCTCCAGGTCACTGTGGGCCTCCTGGAGCAGGTCGCTCACCAGCTCGTCCAGGCCACTCTTGACCGTCACCTGGGGAGTTATTGCTTAATGGGTACAGAGTTTCTGTTTAGGGCGAGGAAAGCATTTGGAAGTAGATAGTGGCGATGGTTGTACAACATTGTAAATGTGATTAATGCCACTGGGTTGTACACTTAAAAATGATTAAAACGGCAATATTATGTTATATATATTTTACTGCAATAATAAAAAAGAAAAAATTAGGTTTTCTCACAGGGGCCCTCAGGAGGAAACAGGGTTGGTGTTGCTGGAAAGGCAGCCTGACCATGTTCAATCTTTCCTGAGAAGTTGGGGCAACTGGGAGTTAGTTCCTACAGTAGTGGCCCCGCCTCCCTCGGCCCTGACCCGAGGGTGCTCCCTGACCTCGTGTCTCCTGGAGCCGCTGCTCACGTCTGAACTCCAAGGCCCCTCCTCTCTCTCCCACTCGCCCAGCTGCTCTCTGCCGCCTTTTCTTCCAGCTCCAACTCCACAGTCCTGTCTTTGCCCCTCTCCCAGGGCCTGGAACAGCGCCGACACATGGCAGGCCCACACTAGGGCCTGGCTGACTCCTGACTTAACACCAGACTTTGGTCCTGTGGCTTCTGCTCCTTTGGTCCCCACCTCTTGGCCCTACGTGGCAGCTTGTCCTGGCCATCCACCGCTCTGTGGCTGGGTCTCTGGCCTCAGCTGGGCTCCTGGCACTGCTCTCTGAGCTTGGCCAGCAGCCTGTCCCATCCCTTCTGGCGGCCATGACAACACACCCCACCCTCCTCAGACTCTGGACACCCCTGCCCCTCCCTCACTCTCGCACATGACCCAGCCTCTGACTCCACGAGGCCCCAGCGGGACTTCCTTACTTCCTGCTCCCCATCCTTCTGCTCTCCCGCCTGCTCAGCCAGCCCCTGTGGGCCTGGAGTCCAGGCCCCCTGCCTCTGGAGGGCCTGCTCTTCCTCAGGCCGTGCCCTCGCTTGCCTGTGTCCTCCTCGCCCTTCTGTCCTGGCTTTCCCATCCCCGCCTGTGTGCTGTGTCCTTCAGAATGCCCCCAGTCTCTTTCTCAGGACGGGCCACATCTAACCCCCTCTTCTTTGCCAGGCCGCTGTGGGGTCTTCTCCCCACTCCCTCCTCCTTCACTCCCCGTTGGCATCTCAGCCCGCCGGAGTCTGGCTAAGGCCTCCAACCCTCCTCTGAACCGGCTCTCTGGCAGTAAGAAGTGCTTCAGTGCCGACAGAGTGAAAACAAGTCTGTCCCACCCTTGCTTGACCCAACTGCACGGCGCACGCTGTTGACCACGCCTGCCCTCCGGGAGCCCCTCCCCGCACCTTCCAGAACACCGATCCTTCTTGGCCTTGCCCAGCCTCTTTGGCGGCTCCAGGCCCTTCGGACCCCCTGTCCTGCCCTCCTCAAGATGACACCCACACTATGGCTTCAGCTCTTGGCTAAATCTGATGGCTCCTGAATCAGTGTTTCTGGCCCAGACCTCTCTAGGCTGGACACAGCTCCAGGCTCGGATATCCAGCTGCCCAGCGGCCATTTCCAGTGGATGTCCACAGGCCCTAGAGCCCCCTAAACAAATTCACCGCCCACCTCCCCAACTTGCTCCTTCTCCCTTGCTCCTCGTGGTGAGGAACTGCCCCGCCCTCGCTCCGTTACTTAGTCCAGCAACCTGCGAGCCCCTCTCCTGCCTTCCACCTCACTCCACACACACTGGGGGCCGAGGCCTTCGCCTCTGCCTCCAGCTCAGTGTTGACCTTTCCGCTCCTCTCTGTTCTCAATGTCCCGGCTTATCCAGGTCACGCCTCCTCCTGCCAAGACAGCTGGATGCCCCCACACTGATGTCCCTGCCTCTAATCTGACTTTCTTGATTCCTGCTCCTATCCATCCACTCACCAAGTCAACAAACAAGGTTCCTGAGCACCTACTACATGCCAACCACAGGGTGGTCTTTCTAAAACTAGATAATCTCCCTGCTTACCCTCCTAGGATGGCTCACTCTGACGTCAGCTATGGCTCTAGCCCCTCGGCCACTCCTATCAGACTGTGTGGGCAGGCTCTTGCCTGGCTCCCAGGACGCCAGTGTGTCCCTAGTGCTTCAGCTCTTGTAGTTGCCTCCCCCACAAGATGTGCCCTGGCCCAGAGGAGTGAGAGCTTGGAGCCCACATGCTCCAGTGGTGAGCATGGCTGTGGTCACAGTGGGGGCTGCCCATCTATGTCCATGGCCCTCCCCCATCCTCATGCTCCCTTCTTTCATGGGCTGGGGCTGGCATGGCTCAGCAGCAGCAATGACCAAATGGGCAGGGGAGGGCAGGATAGGGCTTGTCAGAGGGGCCTGCCAATGGGGCAGGGGTAGCCTGGGGTAGGAGCATCAGGATCATGGGTGGGGTAGGGGGATGGAGTAGCCTTCGGTCCTGGGCAGGGGCCTCTGCCTTGGGCCTTCTGTCCCCCACCCACTCGCTGTGAAAGACACTCCCAGCCACCCCTCCAAGGGGCTCAGGACACATTCAGGGGGCACCTGGGGAGAGGCTTTGCTCCCCTGGCTCGGGAATTCCAACCACCCTGGGAGGACCCGTGGGCAGAGGGCCGGCTCTCCTACCTGTGAGGCATAGGTGTCCAGTTTCTCAAACTGCCGCAGGTCCAGAGGCATGGATTTCAGGCTGGACCGATCCCAGGGGTAGGCTGGAAACACAAATTGTCAACTGCTGAGACCTGCCGGCAAGGGCTGCCTGGCTCAGGCCTTGCTGTCTTTTTGAGGAGCTACGACTGCCTGACCTTCAACATGATTCTCAAAGCCTGGAACACTGCTCTCAGAGCTCTACCTCCTAGAGGGTTCCTTGGTTGCGTTGGTTTGGGAACTATGGCAATTCCTCCAGTTCTCTTGGAGACTCATGGGGAACATGAACCTATTTGCAGCCCCAGGGGTAGGCAGTAAAGAGACTGGTCTCACTTCAATGAGCTCATAGCCCCTAGACGGGTGGTGACAGAATCCCCTTCTCTCTACCATTGGGTTTTCTGCAGATTCCCTGTTAACTTTTCAGGAATGAGTGCTCTGTAGGAAGTGTCAAGGCAATGCTGCTAGCCCCTGAGGGGCTCAAGGCAGGACGGTCCTGCTATGGCCATGGTGCCTGGGGTGGAGGTGCCACAGAGCACCCTGGGGGTAGGCGGAGGGTGCAGTGGGGCCGCGCCATATGGGATCCCGTTGGGGGAGGTGGGTTTGGCACCCAGACAGGCTTCCTCCCTTGCCCACGGTCAGCTGGGGATGGAACACCCCAAGAAAGCCAAGTGTGTACTGGCAACAGGTGCCCAAGGTACTGTGGGGAGGCCCCTGAGGGACGCTGGGCTTCAAAGTCATTCATCCCAGTTCAACCTTTCTCACAGGAAGCCTGGACACAGGACAGCCCCAGTCAGCTGCTGCAGGGCTAACTGACCAGTGGTCAGGCCAACAACTGGATGGGCAGCCAACCTCTGTAGCCCAGAAGAGAGCCTGCGCTTTGCCAGGGTCTTTCTTATTCAAGGTCCCCTGAGCCAGGCTGACCAAAATCAAGCAAGCTGGGTGGGAGACAGGGAGGGGGTGAGAGGAGGATGGGGCCAAAGGGGACGATCCCCTGTCTCACGTGGACTCACCCACCTCTCAGCCTGCCGTGTCAGGAGCCTCTGGGTGTTGGGTGAGTGAGGGGTGCTGGTGGGGCCCAGGGTAGGGCAGCAAGCCTAGGAGGAGCAGGGTGATGTGGGCAAGTGCCTGGTGGGGCTGCATGAGGCCCGGGTTCTAGTTGGGGCCAGACCTCCACCTCACTGGGGGGCACTGGAGCCAGACACTAGGCCTCAGGTGCACATCTGTGGGGCTCCTGGGAGAGTGAATGAGATGGTGGATCACGTTGTAAGGTCGGCGTCACTCTGCTCTTGGGGGGGTGTGGGGTACAGGGTGGGGGTCCTCGGCAGGCAAGTGCAGAAGCAGAGGTATGAAGCCTCTGTGTCTAGTGGGGGGCTACAGCTGTATTTGTCCGCGTCCCTGAGGGTCTCTTACCTCCATGCTGCAGACTCTAGAGATGTGGTGAGAGGGTGGGGAGGAGTCACCACCAGCTCTGGCCCAAGCTGCTCCACGACCCTCTGGGAGTGTTGGATGAGGGGCAGTGCTGGCTGGTTAGGGAGCTGGCCCACGCTGGCCACTGAGGAGCTCCCTGCCCACAGTCAAGCACTTCCCCACTGTCCAAGGGCCCTTTCTGTTAGGAACCAGGCCTTCTTCCTTCTCAGCCTCAGGCTGGGTTTGGCACATTCCCCAAGGCCACCTCACTCTGCTCCCTCGCTCCCTGCTGACACACCCGGGGCGGGGGTGGTTGGTCCCTTCGACTGGAAGCCCCTGACTGGGTTCTCGCCATGTCACATGCTCTGACACATCCAGGATCTAAGGGCTGTTCTCTCTTGAGAAGGGGCAGGGTGTGTGGTGAACAGGCAGGCTGTGGCCTCACCTGGCAACCTAGCATTTTCTTTCTTCATTTTTCTGCTCCTTCTACAAGAACCAAGACCTTTCCTCGACTCCCCCAATCCTTTTGTCCCATGCAGTCTTACACTGGAGCCCCCTTGACGCCCAGCGCCATTGTGGCGCACCCATCGGGTGCCGGAGCTGGGACTTCTTGTCTCCTATCACGTACATCACCATCAGTCCCTATCCTGTGTGGTCCCAGTGCAGCCCTGGCCCCACCAGCCCCTCAGAGGGAGAGGTGACATGGCGGCAGGTCCTGCTGAGCTTCACTCTTCTCAGCGCCCCTCCCTCCGCAGAATCTGGGCCTGCCTTTCTCTGACAAGGGCCATCAGGGTGACCTAAGTGGATACGAAGTGGACCTACACAGTTAACAAGTTTCCGCTCAGTACAGCTCTGCAAATCAGGTCTCCCCTGACCCCATTTAGAAGAAGGATGGCATTTCTAAAATGGGACCGAAAACCTGATAAGTAGTTTTGCCTTTTCTTGGTTCCATGTTACAATATCTGAACATTAAAAATACCTATAATGATTTATGCCTCATTAAATTCACCTTCTGAGCAGATTATGTAAGATCCAAATATGATTTTGCGTAAGTACATTTAATATACTAGTGGCATTAACTAAAATTATTCTAATTTTAAAGCAAAACAAAGGGAAGAAGTGCCAAGTTGCACCAAGCCTTAGATGCTATCTGGTCTACTGAGGGGGAAACTGAGGCCCAGGGAAGGCAAGTGAGGGACAGAGGCAGGATTTGAACCGAGGCCGTCTATCACCCCACTCAGGTTTTCTTCCTCTGCCCTGCTCTGCTTATTCACAAGCCTCCTACCTTACAGATGTTTGGCATTCCATTTAAAGTTAACACAATTCTGGATTCTGTTCTCAATATGTTTCCTGAAGTGGGATGCACTGTTATGAGTTTATGCTTTAGCTTTGGGATCCCATCTGGTGTGTGAGCTTTTCACTTCTCCACCTGTGTCCATGGCAGACATTGCTAATCAATCATGATACTCCTCTCTGCTGAGCCCCAAGGCAGCCCCAGAATCTCAGCACAGTGCCCCAGGGAGCCATTTCCAATTGACCAGAGATTGGCCCATGAGGCTAAACCAATTCTCCATCTCAGAGAACAGCTCTGGAGAAGGCTCTGTAACTTACCATGGGCATCTTTCCCTCCAGGCTGCCGGGGTCTTGTGTTTCCATTTTTATCACCTTGTAAACCTACAATATCCCAAAGGTCAGAAGTAGAGACTCTTCAGAAGAAATAGAAATGTAAGCACAGATGATTCTCTACGTGGTGATCCTTGCTTCTGACCCCTCCTCCTCACTCTCCTTCTCACTGCCTTCTTGCTCCTGTCCCCACCCCACACTGAACTGCTGCTGCAACTGCCCTGGGCTTCCTGGTGAGGCAGAGGGAGGACGGGGACCCAAGGAGGGGATGACAAGAGAGAGACCTGCAGTCGTCAAGCAGAGGCGGAATTTGCTCCAACATCAACACTCTGGATTACTCAGCGGGCCCGCCCGGAGCCTGGTGCTCCTCCCCTCATCTGATCCTCCTGCCATCTTGGAACACAGCGGGGGATGCTGAGAGCACCAGCAAATTTCCCGCCAGGTAACCCCGGACAAGAACTGACCGAGGGCAGACATGAAGGTGGGGAGAGGGGAAGGCAGCTTGTCTGGAGCTTGAAACCCAGAGAAGTCAAGTAATTATAAAATTATTCCTGGGGAAAGTTCAAGGGCAACCAAACACTATAAATCCAGGACGGTTAACATCCTTAAGGCAGAATGGTCACCAATTGTTATTAGACTCCATGGGCAACAGGAAAGGAATTTTTCCTGCTGATTTGAAACCAGATTGGGAAGATGTGGGTCCCTCTTGGAACCAGGAGGAGTTAGGGGGTGGGGATGCTAAGGCAGGTTGTTTTATGCCCTTGAAGCCCACTATAGGCTGGAAATACAATAATGGAAGGTGGCAAAGGTATATAGGCCATTCTGAGGAACAACGGCTTTTGTTTCTTGCACCTACATTTTGATTCCATCTACATTCTTTGGTAGAGTGATGGGGGCTCAAAATAGTAGCTAGCATTTATTGTGTACTTACTATGCCTGGCTTGTGCTTTATGCTGACTATCTCAATGTCCTATGAAGGACATTGAATTGTTTTCCTCCTTTTATAGAAGAGGAAATTGAGGCCAAAAGAGAGGTTAAACTACTTGCCCAAGGTCACAGAGCTGAGCTCTGAACCTAGCTGGGTGACTCCCAGGGCCTACCCTCTCTACACTGCCCTCCTGAGAGGACTGACTGCCCTCCTGAGACCCTGACAGCTGAGGGCTGCAGGACTGGGCAGCCTTAGAGGAACTGCCTTGGCCCACTGAGTGGACACAGAGAAAGCCTGAGCCTTGGCTGTTCTGCAGCCTCTGCTCCTTGGCCGGCATTTCCCCAGGCCCTGTTTAGCCACAAGATGGACAGATGCAGGAAAATGACCAAGAAGGGAGTGGAGGAGACATCGTGGGCCTGGGTCTGGGCCAAGTACGGTGGTTAAGAGCACAGGCTTCAATCGGACCTGGGTTCTGACCCTCTTCCTAGCTGGGAGACTTAGTTATTTCACCTCTCTGAGCCTCATTTTGCTGATCTAAAAAGTGAGGATAATACTGGTATGTATCAAAGGGGGTTAAAAAATTAATGAATATAAAATGCTTAGCACAGTGCATGCCACTTTTTAGGCAGTCAATAAATGGTATCTAAAAACAACAACACTCTTGTGATGAAATTCACTTTTAGCTAAATGCCTTGTGTTACCCACGCCTAATTGCAGAGACTTAATAACAGCGGTTGTTGGGTATGGAGAAGAGAGTCTCCCAGGATGAAGCTGTCATACCTCTGCCTCTTTCCAGTGTGTAGGCCCAGGTCACTCCTCTCCTTCTCCCCGAAGATGCCCAGGCTAGGCTCTGGCCCTTCCAGCTGCCCCCATTCCTCCCTGCCAGCCCTCCACACACAAGCAGCCCTGTACGTACGTACGTACGTTTAGCCAAGGAGAACTTCTTGAGCAGCTGGGGCATGGCGTCTCGAGGGTGGACCTCCACAGTCAGCTGTGTCCCTGCAAAGGAATAGGAGGTGATAATCTCAGCCTGATGCCACCAGGAAAGGGTGCAATGTCTCGTGACAGATGTTTGAACAACAAAATCCAATTGGTTTTAGAACTTTCTTTCGAATATGCAAGTAATTATTATTTAAAAAAACAAAAAATAAGCAGAGAGTTTCCAGATCTGGGTAAGATGGAGTGAACATATTCCCTTTTGTCTCTCCCACAGAATGCAACTGTAAACCTTGGAAAGAATGCATGGGGCAATGAATTGAGGGCTCTGCAAAGCAAATGATGGAAGAGAAATTGGGGAAGAAGACTAGAATTGAAAACATCATCAAATTGGCCGTGAGTTTACCCTCCCCCTCTCCCTAGGATATTAGCTAAACTGGACTCCAAGGCAGCCCCAAAGCCAGAAGTGCACAATGAGTGCAGAAAAAAAGTGCTCCAAGCGAAGCCCTTCCTTCTGGCCTGTGGAGAAAGGGAAGCTTTAAGAGTCAGAGATAGTGGAAGAAATCCCCTGTTGTTTTTTCTCCCCTTTTTTCTGTATGACTCAGCCCCCAAGGAAATTCTGTTGTTGGCAGTGCAGCAATGATTTTGGTGCCAGGCAGGCACCTAAGTCTTTGAGGGAGGGTACCAGAGAAGCTATGATTCCCCAGAGTGGGGGCAAACACTCATTGTTTCTTCTCTCTCTCTGTCCTCCACTGATTGGCTCCAGATGCAGACACAGTTCTGAGAAGTGTCTAGCAGAGTGGGCAAACTAAAGCCCCAGCGTTTGGGCTGGAGGACCGGGAAGTGGGTTGTAAAAAGGAGGGAGCTCAAGAAAGCAATTCCATAAAGGTATGGATGAACTCCTGTGATCACCTCTGCATGGATGGATCTCGTCTATGTTGTGCATGCACGATCTCATTGTAAACATCATATCACAGTCTTTGAGAACTAACTTATGGGGTAGACCAATGCCCACACTGGCCACTGAGTTGTACACATCTGTACACTATACAGAACACATCTGTATAGCATTGCAAAGGCCACAATCCAAAATTACTCAGCATAGGAAGACCCAGGAAAATCTCAACTTGAAAAGGAAAAGATAATCAACAGATGCTAACTCCAGGAGACACAGAATTGGAATTATCAGACAAAGCCTTTAAAACAACTATAATAACCACACTCTAAAAAGTGAGGGCAAACAGTCTTAAAATAAATGGAAAGATATAAAATATCAGCAAAAATTAGAGAATAAAGAAGAAACAAATGGAAATTTTAGAAGTGAAAAATATAGTAGTTTAAAAAATTCTCTGGGTATGCTCAATAGCAAAATAGAGACAACAAAGGAAAAAGTCACTGAACTTGAAGAGAGAATAATAGAAATTATCCAATATGAACAACAGCGAGAAACAGTGAAAAGAGCCTCAGGGACCTGTGGGACAATACCTAAAGATCTAATGTTCATGTCATTGAGATCCCAGAAGGAGAGGAGAAATAGTGTGCAGAAAAAATATTTGAAGAAATAATGACAGAATAATCAATGAAACCAAAAGCTGGTTCTTTGAAAAAAATCAGTAAAATTGATAAACTTCTAACCAAAGTGACCAAAAAAAAAGAGGTAAGACACAAATCAGGAATCAAGACACCCATATCAGGAATGAAATGGGGGATATCACTATAGACCAGACCCTGTACATATTGAAGGAATAATACAAACAACTCTATGCACATAAATTCTGCAACTTAAATGAAACGGATCAATTCCTTGAAAGTTGCAAACTACCAGAACTCACTCAAAAAGTAGGTAACCTGAATATTCCTATCTCTGTTTTTAAAACTAAAGCTGTAGTTCAAAATATCCCCAAAACAAACAAGCAAACAAAAGCCAGGCCCAGACGGTTTAACTGGCAATTTCTAACAAACATTCAAAAAGAAGTTACACCAATTTTTCACAAGATTCTTCAGGAAACAGAAGAGTAGTGAACACTTCATGCCGCCATGTTATGAGGCCAGCATTAATATGATACCAAAACCAGACAAAGGCAGTGTAAGAAAAAAACACTACAGAACAATAGCCCTCCTGACCACAAACACAAAAATCCTCAACAAGATGTTAGAAAATTAAGTCCAGCAACATAGTAAAAGAATAATACACCACAACCAAGTGTGGTTTATTTTGAGAATTCAAGTCTGGTTCTATATTTGAAAAATCAATGAATGTAATTCACAATATTAGCAAGCTAAAGAAGAAAAACCACGTGATCATGTCAACTGATGCAGAAAAAGCATTTGACAAAATTTAACATCTGTTCATGATAAAATCTCTCAAGAAACTAGAAATAGAAGGGAACTACCTTAATCTGAAAAGGGGCATCTACCAGAAACCTATAGCCTAACAGCATATTTAATGGTGAAAAGCAGAATGCTTTCCCTCTAGGACTGGGAACAAGGCATGGATGTCTACTCTCACTGCTCCTCGTCGACATTGTACTGGACGTCCAACCTAGTGCACTAAGACAAGGGAAAGAAATAAAAGTCATATAGATCAAAAAAGAAGAAATAAAACTCTCCTATTCACAGATGACATGTCTGTCTATATAGAAAATCCCAAGTAATTTACAAAAGAAGTTCTGAGAACTAATAAGTAAATTTAGCATGGTCACAGGACAGAAGGTCAGCACCCTAAAATCAATTGTATTTATATTGGCAATAAATGATTGGAAATTGAATTTAAAAATTACTATTTTCCATAGCTCTAAAACATGAAATACTTAAGCGTAAATCTAAAAAAATTTCAGGAACTGTATGCTGAAAACTAAAACATATGATCAAACAAAGAAGCCTTAAATAAGTGGGGAGACATACCATGTTTATGAATTGGAAGGCTCAAGGTTATCAAGTTGGCAATTCTCCCTAAATTGATCTATACATTTAATGCAATTTCTTTTTTTTTTTTTAATAATTTTATTTATTTATTTCTTTTTCCCCAAAGCCCCAGTAGATAGTTGTATGTCATAGTTGCACATCCTTCTAGTTGATGTATGTGGGATGCGGCCTCAGCATGGCCGGAGAAGGGGTGCCTCGGTGCGCGCCCGGGATCCGAACCCGGGCCGCCAGTAGCAGAGCACGCGCACTTAACCACTAAGCCACGGGGCCGGCCCAATGCAATTTCAATCAAACTCCTTAGAGGAATTTTGTAGATTGTAGACATAGGCAAGATGATTCTAAAATTTAGATGGAAAGATACAGCAACTAGAAGAGCCAAAACAAAACAACAAAAAAAGGGAGGACTCCAACTATCTGATTTTAAGATGTATTATAAAGCTGCAGTAATCACAACAATGTGATATTGACAAAGGGATAGTTACATAGATCAATGGAGCCTAATAAAGAGTTAAGAAATAGACCCACATAAATATGGCAAATTGATCTTTTACGAAAGTGCAAAGACAATCCAATTAGAACAAGGGTAAAAGAACAGATATTTCACTAAAGAAGAGATTACAGATGGCAAATAAGCACATGAAAAGATGTTCAACATTATTAGCCATTAGAAAAATGCACATTAAAACCATAATGAGATATTGCATCTATTAGAAAAGTAATAATAAAAAATAGTGATATAATATGCTGACACAGTTGTGGAGAAACTGGCTCTTTAATACATTGCTGGTAGGATTGTAAAATGGTTCAGCCACTCTGAAAAATAGTTTGGCAGTTTCTTATAAAACAAAACATATACTTAACATACAACCCAATAATTACACTTTTGGACTTTTATACCAGAGAAACGAAAACTTATGTTCATACAAAAACCTATACACAAATGTTTATAGAAACTCTACTCATAATCACCTAAACTGGAAACAACCTAAATGTCCTTCAATGGGTGAATGGGTAAATATCCTGTGGTACTTCCATATCAAGGAATATTTCTCAACAATACAAAGAAACTCTCAGGAATGATGGGAGGATGTGACTACAGAGTCCACACAAGAGGACTTTTGGGGTGACAGACTGCTCTGTATTCTGATTGTGGTGGTGGTTACATGAATCTATGCAGGTGTTAAAACTCAGAATTGCACACCAGGAAATGCAATTTTACTGTGTTAATTTAAAATAAAATAAAAATTAAAAAAAACCCAACTGAACATAAAAACCCAAGCAGAATTAAAACAAAACAAAAACTTGGATGATACAGAAAGATATAAAATAAAAAGTGAACATCCTTTTTGTAACCTGCTTTCTTCACTAACTTCTTTACACATCAGCAAATATAGTCATGTTGTCATTTTAAATGGCTGCATAGTACTCTATTCTATAGATGGTTCATAATCCATATAAGCAATCTCTTTTTGCTGGATATTTAACTTTTCCAAAATGTTTTGGAATATTAAATATTATATATTCCACCACTGTTTATAAAATATTATAAACAGTGATGCAATGAACATGCTGATACACACCTCTTTACACACTTTTCAAATCAGTTCCTTTGAATCAAATTCTTAAATGTGGATCAAAGGGTATGGAAATTTTTAAGGCTTTTGTTAGATATTGGCAAATTTTTCTCATGAATGATTTTATAAGTTTAGATCACATCAACAGTGCAAGAGAATGCCCATTTTGCTCATTCTTGCTGTGTTTGACTGCAAAATTGACCACAATACTTTGTACTTCTTCCCAACAAGAGGTCTTTGGTGCCTTCCCTTGAATTTGGGCTGGCCTTATTACTTGGTTTTGCCAATTAGCACGTGGCAGAAGTGATGCTGAGCAAGCTCTGAGCCTAGGCCTCAAGAGACTTTGCAGCTTCTGCTCCCATTCTTGGGATTCTAACCACAACTGCCATGTGAATGAGCCCAGGCTAGCCTGCTGGAGAATGAGAGACCACGTGGAGCAGAGTAGAGCCACCTCAGGTGAGGCCACCCTAGACCAGCTAGTTTCCAGCCAACCCACCAGCTGACCACAAACACATCAGCAAGCCCAGCCAAGACCGGAGATCAGCTGGGTGTGGCTCACACAAG